CCACCACGCCCGGCTAGACCTTGTTTCGAAATGCAAAAAAATTAAAAAAGGGCTGGGATGTAGCTCACTGCAGAAGCCCTGTGGTGAATCTCCAGTCCTACAAAGTAAGTAGAGAATAAAAAAGGGGAGCAGGTGAATTAGCTCAGCGGCACAGCACCTGCCTGGCAAGCACAATGTTGTGAGTTCGATTCCCGGTACCGGAAAAAAAAAAAAGAGAGAGAGAGAGAAAAAGAAAAGGCAGAAGCCACACTGCCTCTCTGGGGTCAGAGCTTTGGCTTCTAGACGTCTGGTTCGCAGAGCGCGGATGACATGGGAGAGCCACCAGAGGCGTATATTGCTACGAGAGCAAAAAAGGAGCCACTCAGAAACTCAGCCGTCACAATAGGTTAATGGTCATTAGAAAAAGGGCAAAGAATCCACGTTCATACTCCTGTGCCCCTGCTTTAACAGGGCCCAGGAAAGCACTCTGCTACTGACCCTGTGTTTAAATGAGGGTTTTCTTCACTGTGGATTCGTTTTTGCACTAATTTTGATTTTTTAAAAAATTGCTTAAAGTCAAATGCAGGTCTGAAGAGGATTTAGCATAGCAGTGTAGTTCTAAGCCGTACTGATTGAGCTGTATTCTCAGGTGCTTAGTACCCAGTAGAGAGACTCCCCCGCCAAAATACCCTTATTGTTCATGTTCTTCATAATATTTTGCTTTGGAAATTTTTCATCATCCTAGAAATGCCCTCTTTCTGAGATATCCAGGTACCTTTTCTTTCTTTCTTCTTTTATTTTAAAAAGAGGAGAACAATAAAAGATACACAATTTCAAAACGAGATAGTAGGTAATTAACAGTGGCTAGTGTATATTTTTATCTTCAGAGTAGTTGCTTGGATTGCAAGGTATAGGTATGCAAATTGATCAAACTGTAAGCATAACCCATTCTTTTCAACAAACTAATTGAAATTAGTAGAATAATTATCTTAGATATCGTATATATATATATTTTTTTCTTTTCCTTTTATCCTTTTTCCATTCCAGTTGTTCTTTCTTTTGAGCAGTTTCTTTCCTTTTCACAAAATGTATTGTACATTTTGGATTTTGTTTGCTCTTTCAGTTTCTTACACTAGGGAGACAATATGATGTTTACACATGCAGGTCCGATTTATTTCACTTATAAGTATGGTCTCTAGTTGCATCTGTTTACCTATGAAAACCTTGAGTTTGTTCTTCTTTATAGCTGAGTAGTACTCCATTATATAAAAATACCACATCTTTTTTATCCTTTCCTCAGTGGATGAGCATTTGGGTTGTTTCAAATTGTGAGTTATTACAAATGGTGCTGCTGTAAACATGGGTGCACATATATTGCTGTGCTATGATGTTTTAAATTCTTCTGGGAAGATACCCAGGAGGGGAATAGCAGGGTCGAATGGGACCTCTAATCCTAGTTTCTTGAGGAACCTCCACACTGATTTCCACAGTGGTTTCATTAGTCCACACTCACAACAGTGGAGAAGGGTTCCTTTTTCCCCACATCTCCACCAGCATTCATTATTGGTTGATTTCTTGATGACAGCCATCCTTTCTGGGGTGAGGTGGAATCTCAGTATTGTTTTAATGTGCAT